ACAGAGAAAGGAAGCAGTATGCGTCCTCCCATATTTGGGCATACCAGGGGTTGTGTCACTAAATACATATATATATACACACACAGAGACACATATACACCCTGTTTCCACGAAAATAAGACCTCCCGGATAATAAGCCCAATGGAGCTTTTGAGCGCATGCGCTAAAATAAGCCCTCCCCCAAAAGTAAACCCTCCACTAAAATATTTAACCGCATGCGCATCCAGTTTCTGCCATTTCTGGGGGAGGGAACATGCCCCACATGCTCAACAGGTACTTGCCATCTACGCAGAACGGCCTCTCGGAGGCTGCTCCCCCAAACCCTAGCTACTGCAACCCTTCTCTTAGTGGCGGCCACAAAAAGAGCACCAAACCCAGCAACCCTAGAGCTGGCAAGAGTGTGCAAGAAACAGAGACAGAACTTCTAGCCTTCTCTAGATCAGTTGATCTGCGGGCCGTGGGCCGAGGTTAAGGGGCCTCCTGCACCTCAAAAAAATAGTAAGACTCCCCAAAAATAATGCCAAGATCTTATTTTTTTGGGGGGGGGGTGTCAAAAGAAAATAAGACCCTGCCTTATTTTGGGGGAAATACCACACACACACACACACACACACACACACACACACACACACAGAGCGAGAGAGCGCTGTGGGTATGTATGTTCAAGAATAACACTGAAACGCCTCAAGCAATTTCAACCAAACTTGGTACACAGATGACTTACTCTCTGGAGAAAAATACTGTGTGGGTAAGACACCCCTAAAACCCGTCGGGGTGTGTGTTCTGTTAAGATGCAGCCTGTTATGCCTTAAAATGGCTTCTACTGTACAGCCATAAAATGGCTTCTACTGTGCAGTGGAGTTGCCATGGTAATGGCTTCACAGTACTCCACAAGGGGGGCTCCCTCTGGTAAAGAGGAAAATCCAACATTAGAAATTATGTTTGGTTCGGACATTTTCCCCCTATAAATAAATACCCGGGCAATGCCGGGTTATCAGCTAGTTTTAAATAATAACAACAAACATGTCTTCTGAGATTTCCATTCAAGATTTGTATTTGAATTGCACTTTTTCTTTTTAAGAAAGTTGTTTTGTTTTGTGAAATGTTTGCCAGAAATTCTTTCTGAGAAATTTAGAATAAGAAGGAATGAAGATAAACAAGACATTCTGGCTTTATAAAAGGGCAGAAGCTCTTAAATAGGGTTAATCTAAATTTGTATTTGTAGCCTTTACTGTCATACTTACAAATTGTAATTCTTCTGTTTAAAGTGGCCTTTGAAGAGGAAGTTTATTTGAACAATGGTGTTGTCACCTCTGTTTTCTTCTAATAATTTCTTATCCCACTCCCTCCCTTCTTACATAAGTGCATGTCTGGAACAGTATAAACATTGGACACCAAAGCGGTTTGTTGGTCTATATTTTCAAAAATAAAAATCATTGGCAAAGTTGGTAGGTATTTTGAGAACCGGCAAATTTCAGGCTTCAACACTTCTCAGGAATAACTTTTAGGAACTTTGAGAAATATTTGTAGTGGACTCTTTCCTAGTTTGATGCGTCTCTGGATATTTGGGGTTGCAGTTCAGAAGACCCAGGCCCAGTAGGGAATTCTGTTAGACCATTGATGGCAAACCTATGGCATGCATGTCACAGGTGGCAATCAGAGCCATATTTCCCGACACGGCAGCCCTCAACTCCAGGCGCATGCACGTACTGCCCAGCTGATTTTTGACCTTCTGGAGGGCCGGGGGGGGGGCGTTTCACCCTCTCCAGGCTTCAGGAAACCCTCCGGAGCCTGGGGAGGGTGAAAACTCCCCCTCCCATGGGGTGCCTGCACATATGCAGGGGAGGGGTTGCATGCGCTGGGGGGTTTGTCTTGCATGCATGCGCAGGGGGGGCACACGTGAGTGTGTGATAGCGCATGCATACACTATTTTGGCACAACTTTAGAAAAAGGTTAGCCATCTCTGTATTAGACTAATAGAAAAGGTGGGGGGGGGGAAGGTTGTGAATTGGGGAACACTAGGTAGTTCAGGGGTGCCAAACTGGCAGCCCATGGGACAGATGCATCATGCACAGGCCTTGCCCACTCCAGCTCTGCAGAGGCAACAAACATCACGATGCATCATGTAACGCGATTGAATTTGACACCCGTGAGTTGTTAGGAGCCCAGAAAATGACTTGCAACTGATTGCATGTAAAACTATGTGTATTAGATCAAGAAATAAAGGTTACCTTATCATAGAAAGGTCATTACATTTATTTTCCTTCGACCAGGGAATGGATGCCCAGAAACTTTAGGATTACATAATCATTACTGCCAGCAGTATATGAAAGTGATAATAAAGGCTTAACATTTAAAAAAAAACTATACAATTCCTTATATAAATTTTCTGAAAAGCTTCTCTCTATATCTAGCAAGATATATTGTTGTAATATCGCTGGGTTCAGATCCCCTCCTCTAAGAAGCTTTCTTGGCATGTTATGCTGATCTATTTCATGAGTTTGCAAGAATAAACATGTGCGCCATCCTGGACTCCCTTGTACAAAAAGCAGGCTATAAATATGGGGGATGGATAATGCTCTTCATATGCCTTGAATTAGGTAGCCTTTGTGCTTTAAGGCAGTTTTATATATGGCCCATCCGCCCACAGAGACCAACAAACAAAAGGCTACACAACTAACTGTTTCAAAAAACAAAGATGGGCCTTGTATTGAATATATTGACAGAAGTACAAGTGATAATGGACAAGTTTCTTCACACCAAGAAGCACCAAGCCATATATAAACAACGGAGGCCATTCACAAGGATAATGATGGTAAAAGGTCATAAAGTTCATTTTTCTCTCTCTCTTTTTCCCTCTTGTTTATTTTAATAGTGCTGGGCCTAAAGGCGACAACATCTACGAATGGAGATCTACTATCCTAGGCCCCCCAGGTTCTGTGTACGAAGGTGGCGTATTTTTTCTGGATATCACATTTTCATCTGATTATCCGTTTAAACCACCAAAGGTAAGGTTATGCCGTCTCTGTATCTTTGTACCTATTTTCCATTGTCTGCCCATTTTAATTCAGGGAAAGCAACCACTGGATGAAGCATTTCCAACATGTGCATGGCACAGGATCCCCTAGCCATCTGGGACTCTCTAAGGCCAAACAAAAGGACCCACATTGTCTTGCCTTCACGTGTTGCAGTTTTCACTGGAGGCTTTCAGAGTTGGGCATTTTCTGAGAATATTAGGACATCGGAAATTTTCATTCCAGACCCTGTTTTTCTGCTGGACAGAAAAATAGGATTTGGAGGGCATAATTTCCATTATTTCTGTATTCACGTGGGAAAACATTCCAAAAGGTCATAAAATACCTTGCTTAATTACTCTACCTTTATTCAACGTGTATAATGCCTCCTTGTTCAAGGTACCCAGATGTAGCAGTAGTTATCAACCTATTCTTGGTAGAAACAGTACAAGGTAACATTCTATAACTGTTTTTGTTTTTTTGTAGGTACAAGTCACTTTTCTTCAAGCCTTACATTAGATTATTGTCCCTCTCAAGGACAGTTTGCTAGGAGGTATATGCTGCAGTTGAAATGAGACCATTGAGAAAAGGGAAGAAACAACCATTTCATCTTTCTGACGCCATCCTTTTATTTTATTATTCTAATATTGCATTTCACTCACTTTTTTTCCTCAATCTTCTTGTTCCTCGAAACTAGCATGATACCAGAGAGACAGGATAATTCTCGTAGCACTCACTCTTGCTTATTTGCCCAAGTCTTTTGGAAGCAGGATATGGTTGTTCTCCGAAGACAAACTTATCCACATCGCCTGAAATCAGATTTATTTCAATAAACCCTTAGAAGAGTGTAATCTTGGTGGCTAAAATGAAAAGCAGAAGTATTTAAGCCCTGGTTTGCTTGAAAGTGTATGATTTGATAAATATTCTCTCAAAAAGTTGCAAATCTTTATCTAATAACATATCAGCTACAATGCTGCTTTAATTATCAAACGTTTCAACTTGTGGTCTGCTTCTGTGATAAGCGTTCATTTCCTAGTTGTTTCAAAGCCTACTGAAACACAAATGTACCCTGTCCTTACCCAACAGCTGTTTACAATTCACCATTTAAATCCTGTACAGGTGCTCTAGTGCAAAACGTGGATTTTTCCTTATTTTGATCATATTGAAAGATGATCCTTATTATATTAAATATGTACATGACTAGCAGTCAGCCAAGTCATATGCTATAGTATATCTCTATGGATGACGTGATGCATTTACCGGAGGCAGTCGGATTTGCCCTTTTCCTATTGGCTGGGAATGGGGGAGATTTTCACCACTTTTTTCCTATTGGCCAGGGGTTCGGTGGGGGGGAATGACTTTTTTTTTTTTTTTTTGAAAAAGGTCAGGAAAGGGTATGTTACTAGTCCATGCTAGCTGAAATATAAATCCAGAAACTGAAGACGCTGTACTTACATACAACATTGATATACAAGTACAACCATTACATACACATTTCCCCCAAAAGAGGAAGCAGAGATGTGTATGAAATACTAATACCATTCAGTATTTAAACATGATAAGTTTTTGGATAGTGGGAAAAACGAGGCAGAGCCATGGACCTATGTCCTTGCTCTCTCTTTATTTGAATATTAAAGTGGGATGGTCTCATTTTCCTTAGTCTCACTGTTTCCTTTTCAGCCTAAGAAATGCACCTGTTTAAGTGGAGATATGCCTGGGAAAGGGCCTGAAATCATTGGAAATTTAACTAAAAGGGATACTAAATATAAAACAGTTGACCACATTTTATTTGCACTTCGATTGACGTTAACCTAAGATGTCCTGAGTAATAGCATCAGTGTAAATGAACTAAAATGCCTCAAAATTGCCATATTGGGTGGAATGTGGCATTTAGTGAAAGCACAAGTAGAATTAACAATAGAATCCATTGTAAAAAAAAATTAAGTGTGTAGACCCCTTGTTTGGTTTGTTCTAATCCTGCTTCCTGAAAAAATACATTTAAAAAAAAAAGTATGTCAAATCCATGGTAGCTCTTAACGTTGTGAGAAGCATAAGCTAAGATTTCCCATACTTGCTGATATAGAGGTTTAATGCCAGTATAAATATTTGTTTAAAGATTGCAGCTGTGCAGCAGATATTCGATGAAGAAGATTCACATTCTGCTATTAAATAAGTTAGGTTCACCAAATTAGTTAATCTGTTGTACACCCGCAACAGAAATCAAGAACTAAGACCTGCTCCCCAATCTCTTCTTTCTCTCTCTCTTCACTAGTCTAACAAGTAATTCTAGGTAGGAATTCTAGTCATGCCCCCCCCCCCCGAATTAAGATTTATTCCCCTTTAAAAAAAAAAAGGATGAAAAAAGCTGGTGGGTAAGCCCCATGATTTTCCACAGCATTATCTCAATATGCATTTCCTGCCAGTTTCACAAAGGCTTGAGAAATTTGGCATAAAATTGTAAAAAGCTCAAGTGCAAAGTCATTTTGGACATGGTATTTCCCTCTTTTCCCACTTGTAGGTTCCTTGAAACATCTGGGAATGGGGCAGACCTAGAGATGAATGCCCTGGAGCTGATTCTTTATAGAGAAAAGATCACCAAGAGTGCCACATAGGCTCAGTGGGTTCTCTCCTCTTTGGGAGTTTATTAATGACATGAATGGAACATGTGTCAGTTTTACACATGACACAAAACTGAGTGCACTGAGGATTCCATGCAAAACCACAGAATTTAATGGTGAAAGTATTGGGGTGGAATGCTTCCCCCTTCACCTTCTTTTCTTGCACATTGTAGTGCTTAATTTTTAGTTTACATTAAGTCAGATCCTGGCGTAGTGTCCTTGAGTATTGAATGACATTACATCAGAGTTTCCTGATTCAGCAGAGGGCTTCTCACTTAAAAAGTGAGTGCCATGCTAAGCTAAACCATATAAGATATTTAGCTAAGGGGAAGGGGTCTATTCCAAATTTTATTCTCCTTTAGCTCTGAACTATATTTCATGACACTACCACATTATATGGTTCAAAACATATGAATACATATGTATTCTATAGAAACATAAGTTCCTAGTTAACAGAGCTGGCCTTAATACATTTAGGCCTTACCGCCTACCCGGACCCCCCAAGATTAAACACCACCCTGATGCGGCCTTCAATGAAATAGAGTTTGACACCCCTGATGTAGAGTATACTGACCAAACAGAGTTTTTGAATAAGTAGTCTACTTTTATTGTAGGTAAAAGTAGCCTCAGGAAAGCAGCCTGAGTGAGATTTGGTTTTTTTCTGTGGAAGCTGATACATTTGAAGATTGCTTTTGCAATATTCAAAATATACTAACATGCTCTATGAGTCATATTCCTACTGTGTTGGAAAGCTCATCTAAGTAAATCCAAATAGTTGGAGAGGATCCAGTGATGATCTTATTTATAAAAGCGGTCAGGTGACATATAGATGAATCAAGAATAAGAGCCCCAAGGTTAATTGACGGGAATCGTGACATCTACATCACGATGGCTCCCATGTTCCAGAAGAGCTGTGATCTCTAATCTGGTGCTCTTCAGATTTCTCAAACTAGCATCATCTAGTTTGGGCACCATAACTAGTGAAAAGGCCTCACTTTGAATCTCACATTCACCCGTTTTAAATGAAAGCTGGGTATCTTAAGTGCCATTTTCCACATGCAGGCAAAAATAGTCCATAGGCTTCTTTAAACTCTTGACAGCAGAATTACGGTGACGTCTTAATACAAACTCTCCGACTTGGAATGCAAGTACGCAAGTCTTGGGACTTGCAATGTCGCTTGTCCGCCCCAAGGAAACCGATGAAACTGCTATTTCTCAAAGGCACGCAAATGTTTGTATGTGTCGGCTGTTTGTTTGGGTTTTATTTTTTTTGAAAAAGCATTAAAAATGCTGGAGGCTTGTCAAAACAAAACAAAAAAAATACACACACAATAAAGCTTTTAGCTTTGAGACATACAATATATAACAGTTGTGAATAAGGCAGCTGCTTACAAAAGAAGAGAGGGGAGACCTCTTTTCAGATGAGTCGTAAACAAACATCGGAAACAAACATATTTTTTTCTCCCAAAAATGAAAGGTCTCGACAGAAAAAATTTCCCACCGAGGGAGAATCATTCAAGACAGGTTTCAAAAGGCTAGCAACAAACTATGCCTGAAAAGCGTGTAATGATCTCCTCTTCCCCCACGCCCCCCCCCCTTCTGTTGCTCTTCTACCTGTAGGTTACTTTCCGTACTAGAATCTATCACTGCAACATCAACAGTCAGGGAGTCATCTGTCTGGATATCCTGAAAGACAACTGGAGTCCTGCTTTGACTATTTCAAAGGTTTTGCTGTCTATTTGCTCCCTCTTGACAGACTGCAATCCTGGTAAGGCAATCCTTGGCTTTCATTTTGTACCCCACCCACCACCCCCAATTTAATGAAAATGAGCATTATTAATTCTGCAACAGGCACAGCCAGAGGAGGCTACTTTCCTCCCCCAGCAGCTTCATATAAATGCTAAATAGAAGGAGAAGAGTACAGAGCCCTGCCGGACGCCACAAAAAAAGGGTCTTGGGCAGAGGTGGTATTCAGTCAGTTCTGACCGTTCCTGGTGAAATGGTAGCAGAAATTTTGAGTACTTCAGAGAACCGACAAATACCACCTCTGGCTGGCCCCGCCCCCATCTATTCTCTGCCTCCTGGGTCCCAACTGATTGGCTGGGTCTTCTTTTATTGCTCCGCACAGGAGAACGGAGCAGGAAAGCAGGTTAGTGGGGTGGGCAGGGAATGAGGATTTTGCAGTATCCTTCCCCTGCCACGCTCACAGAACCAGTAGTAAAAAAAAAAATGAATGCCACCACTGCTCTGGGCTAGATCTCTTCACTTCCTCCTCATCTATTGGAACCAGCCATGGAGAAAGAAGGTTCCGCACAGTGGTGAGTTGCAGGCAGAACACCCCAGTATGGGCATACCGGAGCCTGCCCAGAGCACCAGATACCATTCCGCTACAGTGCTCCGGAGGGTCCACCCACCTGCCTGAGCTCCTTACCTGTCTTTTAAGGCTTCTGCACTTCCGCATACGTGCATGGCACGTACAGTGCCTGCATGACGCTCTGCTGAGCAGCTGGAATGTTGTGGAGGTGATAAGATGCATGCGCGCGCTGCGCACGTCCATGTGGACACCCACCATTGGTTCCATACTACTGCTACTTACTGCTTCCATTGTCACCCCAGCTCATCATGACACATCTTGTTCAGGAGTGGCTGACAATGGAAAACAATCCTGTTTGCAGATTCTGAATCCAAATTGCCTTTTTTGGACAAGATGCTGCAATTTGCTTGTACTGTACATCTGTATCGTTTATAGTGTTCTATGAACAATGTTGGTTGTCGTCTAAAAAGCCCTTCATGAAGGAGGGAAGGAAGGAGGGAAGGTAGGAGAGAAGGAGAGAAGAAAGGAGGGAAGGAAAGCGGGAAGGAAGGAGGGAATGTAGGAGAGAAGGAAGGGGGGAAGGAAGAAGGAAAGGAAGGAGGGAAAGAAGGAGGGAAGGAGAGAAAGAGAAAAGAAAGGAGTGGAAGGGGGAGGGAAGGAAGGAGAGTAGGAGAGAAGAAAGGGAAGGAAAGAGGGAAGGAGGGAAGAAGAAGTAGGATTGTTGTAAGATAAGATGGATTTATGGGATGGTAAGAAAGCAATTTTAAGTATATTGTCAACTGTAGGGGGAAAAGTGTTATAAATACATATTATTAATAACAGTTATGAGATCATATAATTGTGAATGTATATATGAATTTGATAAAATAAAATTAAATTAAAAAGCCCTTCATATGGTATAAGGGCTAGTTATCGGAGGGACTACATTTTTACCTTTGTTTCCGCTAATTCTATAAGATGTGCAAAAAAAAAAGAGCATTCTTTGAGCCCAGTCTATTAAACCATTTCTTCTGATGGGATGTAAAAGGCATGCCTTCCCTTTCACACCACCTGTCTTCTGGAATGGTATTGCTCCAGAGCTTTGAATGGTTCAACCCTGCTAACCTATAAACTAGCCTTGAAGACCTGATTTTTAATCCATGCTCTGGCTTAAATGCTTGAATGAGATGATGTTGAATGTTTTATCGATTTCTACTGGTTATAGTCCTTTTAAGGTAAAGGTTCTCTTAGCACATATGTGCTAGTTGTTCCTGACTTCTAGGGGGTGGTGCTCATCTCCGTTTCAAAGGCGAAGAGCCAGCGCTATCTAAAGATGTCTCCGTGGTCATGTGGCCGGCATGGCTAAATGCCAAAGGCGCACGGAACGCTGTTACCTTCCCACCAAAGGTGGTCCCTATTTTTCTACTTGCATTTTTTTGAACTGCTTGGTTGGCAGAAGCTGGGACAAGTAACAGGAGCTCACCCCGTTACACGGCGCTAGGGATTTGAACTGCCGAACTGCCGACCTTCTGATCGACAAGCTCAGCATTCTTAGCCACTGAGCCACCGCTCTAGTCTTTTTACTTTGTCTTAAACATTACCGGGGCTCTATTTGGGGTTGTGTTTTTAACTGTTCAGAATTGTGGTTTGGGTGGCCGTATGCATTTGAATTGATTAATTAATTATGAAACAGTAAGTGGTGCTGGCGTTGAGTGCTTTTCCCTGTCTTAATTGGCAAATGTGTGAAATGAATTGTTGAAACTTTGCTCATTACTTCGCTTATCGGGGCGTGACCGCTAATGTGTCCTCTCCCTTTCTTTCCCTCTCCTGTTGTCCCTTGCCGAATTCTTGCAGCTGATCCTCTGGTGGGAAGCATAGCCACTCAGTACCTGACCAACAGAGCAGAACATGACAGGATAGCCAGACAGTGGACCAAGAGATACGCAACATAAGTGATGTTGTTGACTACTTGGCGCAGTGTGAAGGTGCGGGGATGCAGCTTTGCAGTGTGCAACCAAACTTTATAGCCTTTACAATACGGACTTCTGTGTATATGTTATACTGATTCTACTCTCTGCTTTTATCCTTTTGAAGATTGGAATACTGCTTTCTCTCCCTCCTCCCCTTCCCCAAAAGGTAAATGCTGTCAAGAGTAGAACTTTGTAGCTGTAGATTAGTTATGTTTAAAATGCCTACTTGCAAGTCTTGCTTCTTTGGGATATCAAAATGTATTTTGTGATGTAACTAAGGATACTGTTCCTGAAGTCAACCAAATATAATAGTGCATTTTAGCCTAATTCATTATCTGTATGAAGTTATTAAAGGTAGCTGTAGATTACTAGGAATTACGTCATTTGTATTAAGCCCAGATCTATTTCCGATATGTGGTACATGCTGTTGTGAAAAATGTTTAAGACTTTTACCTTTGTCAGTTTGTAATGAAAAGGATTTCTTTTATCCTTGTCCCCTCTCATCGCCACCCACCTTGTAGCTCAGAGAGCATCCAGTGTATCATCTCAAACACAATAAACATGTTCCCCAAGGAAGAGCTTCTCTGTTTTCATATTTGAAATTAAAATGTGGGCAGAGCCAGTAGGACCGTTTATATACAGATCCTGGTGGAAAACTAACCTAAGACAAGAAGGCCCCACTCAGAAGGCCTCTGGAACATTATGAGATTTGTAGTTTGCCTCTACCAATGTTTCTTAAGGCAGAACTACACAGTGCTAAACCTTACATTTATAGCCATAGACATGTACAAAAAGGTAAGATAGAACAGTAGTAAGGATGATACTTTCCATCATTATTTCTCCTCTCCTCCCCATCGCTGCTCTGAAATTCTAACCAGTATGGTGGTGGTAACGCTGAAGAGGATCATCATCACTCCTGTAAAATTCATGTTATATTATCCATCACAACTGTGAACATCTGTTCTCAGGCAGGAAGGACGGAGGAATGTTTCCATTAAATCTGTAGAACGTTAAAAGTGCAGGGATGTGATGAGGGCAAAGCAAAATTAAGACCAAGCAGAAACACCATTGACCTTGTCCTTCCTCACTTTTATTTCTGGTAGTCATGAGCTCCAACCACTATGTTCATAGTTGCTATTATAGTTTGGGGAGAGGAGTACAGTTTCCTTTAGGACCACAGGGATAATCGGCAAGATTCAATCACTAGTCCTGCTGTCTCTTCTGCAACCTCCTGAAGCAATATTTGTCAATCAAAAAAAACGTAAAACACACAACTTATTTAAACTTAAATTTAATCTCATGTTTAGTTCGACTCCCGTTTTTCCTTGATGGAGGAATAATAGTGTTGAGCTGCACTTGATGCCTAATTGTTCTCCCTTGCAGCACCAAAAGCTTTGACACTGGGCAGATAGTGCAGACCACAATTTGCCAAGTGTAGCAAACTTGTTGACTTGTAACAACCTGACAAGCTGTGCATCTTCAATTGCTTGAAACAAACTTTTCCGTACTTCTGCATCTGATGAGAATCTGAAGACCTGAAGATGTTAAAAACTGTGATACTGTACAATTCACTTTGTTGAATACCAAGGAGCTGATGGAAATATGACATGTGCTTCACTGTCAGTGTATTCTTAATTAGACAGTTGTTTCTTAACCAGTGAGTGTATAGCTGATAAGGCCGTTGTGAGTAGAGTTGATGGCAGGCCGGGGAATCTTACTATTTTATGCATTCTCCAAGATGAAGGAGCAAATTACCAAAATGTTATTGGATTTCACATAATCTCCCACCTACTTCTATAATTTACCATAAATAGGATCGTCTTTATAATTCCAAAATTTTGAGAATTTTGGATCTTGCCAATCTCTTCTAATTTTAGGAGATGTCCACTGCTCCAGTTCTTTAGAGGTAGGCTTCTGAATTATGGTAAACCTGTCTTCCAAAGCAGTACAGTTTCATGATTTGCTTATTCACTTCTCTGAGTGACATAAACACTCATGAAACCTTCAAGAGAGCGTTTTTTCTTCATGAGGTCAGCAGAATATAAATCAATATTGACTTAAAGAAGATTTTTTTAAAAAGTAAAGTCGATATCAACACAAGATAGGATGTAAGCCTTTCTCCACATCTTTCCACGTGAAATGAATGGGATCTCCAAATAGTCCTGCATAATGTTCAGGTGTCTTGAGTGAGAGTTGCACACAGTATCATTTCCAGATAGATCGATAGACTTGCATACTTTACACTTAGGAGAGCTTGATGGAAACATTACATTCACAATGAGATTTTCATCACCCCACCAGGGTTGATAGGCTGTCCTACCCAACAACCTAGGGTTGGGTACATCAAATGGATAGCTTACTCTGCAGCACGTGTTAAATATTAGCATTCCTTTTCCCATTGCGTGACCACCGTAGCTCTTTATTTATGTAGTCAAATCACCAAACAGTGCAAGCCAGTCATCCAGAAAGATGATTTGTGTTTATGTGACAGATACGCCTTACTATTTTATGTTTCAGGCTTCTAGGTTCAAACTCAACAAAACTATTGTGTGTGGGGGGGGGGGCAAGTGGAGGATGCTGTTGAAGCACGTCTATCAAGCAGTGATGTACTTTTTGTATATCTCTGGCTGAAGTTCAACATGGTTTATCATGCAGAATATTAACCAATAGTAGAGGCTTCAAGGCGTGTGAGGCTCATCTGTTAGACCTATGGCCTCAGAATATGACACCTAAGAGCAATATCGTTTGAGACATACCTGCATCCACTTGCACTACAGCTCAAATGTCAAACTCTCCTATTTACCTCCCAGCTAAATGTCATTTTCACCTGGAATTTTAAGGGTTTATTAACAACTCGGGACCTATTTCAGATCCTGAAACAAACCCCCAAAATAAAATGCCCGTTCAGTACAGCAATCTCCTTAGTAGGCAATTTATAAAGGCAATCTGTTTATCCTATATTTTGTTTGGTATTATAGTCTAGTTCTCACGGAGACATCGAAGGTATTTCGGGGCTGTCCTGCCACAAATTTTAGAGAGAGGCTACTCTATCCTCCGCCCCATTCCCAAAACAGCTTCTTCCACCAGAAATTCCAACAAAATAAAACATTTTAACTTTGCTTTATCAACGTTCTTTGATTCCTGGGCCCTCTTGTGTGAGAAAAGTGTTCAGTCAAGATTCACAATTGACCTCTAAAACATAAACTCAACTCATCTTTAGCCTTTCTTCCATGAGAACAATTCCTACAGCTAGTCTTGTAAGAGAAGAGAACAGAAGGTATACATGGGAAAATATTAGAGTATCATATATAGGGCATCTTTGTTAGTCATCTTCCATTAATTTCAGAAGATTTTCACAATTCCCACTGAAATGAGTGGAGTTTATGAGGCCTATGAATTTGGTACATTTGTCTTGTAAATTAGGACAAGAACATATGACCTGTTACCTGGCAAGTACACCCCAAGGAGAGACTCCAAAGATCTTGCTATTCCTAGTGAAAAGATAAAATGTATTGATATATTGCATAGACCATAAATTTACAAAAAGTGGCAAAACGTATATTTCACATTATATTAGATATGGGCCCTGCGAAGCTTTCAAATATTTATATCATATCATATATATAGTATAATTAACACCATGTCTCATTTTTTTTACTGCACTAAAATTTCAGAATGCAGAAAATTGGAAATATAAATGAGATGCCTTCTCAATATTGCCCCTGTTAACTTTCTTTACTAAGATTATATGATTAATTCTAAAATTTCCTTCCTGTCATGAGTTTGTCAACACCTTGTTCCTTCTTCATGTTGCTTTTGCTGTCTGTAAATTTTATATTTACTGAAGTAAGAAGTTTGGGGGGGAGGGAAAACGGGGTTGTGTACACATTTAAACTTAAAAAGAACTTAATTTTGTTTCTCAGCTTTTCTCTGCTTACACCAAGCAGTAGAAAGAAATTTGTATTGTTAAATAAATCAATTAGTTGTTAAATGAGAATGTGTGCCTTTTCTCTGTTTATTTGTTTTTTAAAACTATTTTAGCTATCCTTATCTATTTAAGGCCCTATTAAGTGACAGTATGGTAGAGGTAGAATCTCTAGAATATGTCTGGTGGGATTTGGAGGTTTCCCAAAATGTTGTGTGAGTTTCAGGATATCTTATTTGTTTCAATGTTCGCCAAGACCCCAAAGGTCTGAACACATAACCAACAATGGCTCATGCTGAAAAATATGTAGGGTTAGAGTTGATTAGGAATTCAGTAGCAAGCCAGCAAGAAATTCTTAAGATACTAGATTGACTAAAAAATATCCCAGAAAAAGTCAAAGGCAAAAAAACTTCTATACTGTATCGAAAAAAGTCCCAACAGCATTGAGATCATGCCCAAGTGGCCATCACATGAATTTGTCCTCATTGTCTCCAAAATTGTCAAATAACACTTGAGTTTGGTGACATCATATCTCTACAAAGAGCTTTGAGCAGGACAAACTCTTTGTCCCTCATATCCATGAATGTTTCCTGGATATGTGAGTATATGATTTGGGTGGGCTGAAAAGGAAATCTACCACATCAGAGTTTTAATTTTGATTCTTATAATATGCACTCATATTTTCATACAAAACCAATAATAAATTGGAAGGGTTTAGTTTGAAAGCACCACCATTAGAGAATTATGTGATACTGATAACTAGGTTCAATTTGAGGTGTAGCAGAATATACCCTAATCTTTTCAACTGAACTATTTTGAATGTTGTTTAAATACAAACTGGGTGTAGCGGTAATCAACTTCAATATCATTTCCATATCCACTCCTAGTAGGCAATTGTCCTACGGGCACTAGAGCAATAGTATTGTTTGATGAAGGGAAGGATTTCCAACTTTTGCTTCCAATTAAACAAATATTTATTATAGCCGTAGTTCAGAACAACCCTTAAAATGCAACATATACAAAATGAAACTAATAGAAAAATTTAAAAAATAGAAACAAAAATGGAATGTACCATAGGTATTGTGTGCCACTGTCCCTACACTTGTGTCAGCCATCTGAATAATGCATCCGCCAAAAGCAGAACTCGTAGGCAGGTAGATTCCTCAAAGAACATGTTTATTGGATACATCATATCGGCACAGTCAGTGAAAATCAACTCTAAAAGTTTTTAGCCTAATTAAAAGAATGAATAGTTCCCTCCCCAAATGTCACTGGTCACATTGTCCAATATATGTAGGTGGCAGGCTGCTTGGTCACTCCTCTCTTCCTTCGACTGCCACCTGTTAGGATGACCTTGGTTCCCACGAGAAAACTTTTTGTTTTGACTGTTAACTGTCTACTTCCCCCTCCCTTTCCCCCTTCAGAGTTTGTGGCAACTATGAGGCAGCAAAAGATGGCTTCAACCAGGTTCGCTTCAGAGTTGACAACTTGGTTGTTGTTTACACTAAGATTCCCTGCAACTCAGGGCAACAGATAGCACCAACGGATACCTCTACCGGGTGAGAATTTGCACAGTTGCGTGTGGTGCCAACAGCTCTTTCTTGAGCAACCACGGCACACAAAACACAGTCATCACATTGCAGCCTTCATTCAAAGTAGTGGGAGGAGGGAATAACCTTGAGACACAGGAAGAAGGCAACAGTCAGATCAACATGAATCTGGGGCGAAGTTGCAACCTGAGAATAGAATTTCAGGTAGGGCCCTCTCTAGTACTCACGATGATAAAGGAAAAGAGGGAGGAAGTGTATTAAGACCTGCAAGATTCTGTTATTGCAGCTTTATGATAAAGGACATATTAACCTGTATGCCTTCTATGCGTAGAAGCCAGGGGTGGGTTTCTCGCCCCATTCCAACCGGTTCGGTTGGAACGGGGCCGGCGGCATCCTCGTGCACGCACGCAGCGCACGCATGCGTACTAGCGTCTGTGTGATGCTCCAACTGCTGGAGGATCGCGCAGGCGTTGTATGCGTCCTGCGAATGCGTGGAAGCGCAGAACTCGTCAAAACCAGGTAAGGAACGCGGGCGGGCGGGTAGGCCCTTCGCCGTTCCCGGAAGTTACTTACTTCCGGGTTCGCCGACCAACCGGTTCGCGGGGACCGCCGCGAACCAGTTGAAACCCACCCCTGGTAGAAGCACACTGCTCCATAAATCAGTATTTCTATGCTTGTCAATGAGAGCAGAAAGCCCATCTCTAGCCCTAGTTGTTGCATCAAGGCAACTGGTTCTGGCTTTTTGTTTCTGCTGTCCTCTCCTGAAGAAGAGAGCTTGGAGATCAAATGTCGGCGACTGAACTGGTTTTGCAAACTGCACAACAAACTTGCCAAGCTGTCCCTATCAAAGGGCTGCCGATCATTGCTTCTTTCCATTTGTCTTCTCCTTTTTGACTTCTCCACCCCTTGATTATAAAAAAAATATATGTAGAGACTCTGGAAAGAGAGTAGAAAAGAGCAACAAAGATGATTAGGGGGCTGGAGGCTTAAAACATGAAGAACGGTTGCAAGAATTGGATTTGTTTAGTCTAATGAAAAGAAGGATCACAAGTGATATGATAGCAGTGTTCCAATATCTCAGGGGCTGCCACAAAGAAGAGGGAGTCAAGCTATTCTCCAAAGCACCTGAGGGTAGGGCAAGAAGCAATGGGTGAAAGCTAATCAAGGAGAGAAGCAACCTAGAACTATGGAGAAATTTCAGCAGCAAAACAGCAAGAACAATTAGCCAGTTACTCACTGCCTCCAGAAGTTGTGGATGTTCCATCACTTTTAAGAAGAAACTGGACAGCTACTAGCCTGGAATGGTATAGGGTCTCCTGCTTCAGCAGAGGATTGGGCTAGAAGACCTCCAACGTCCTTTCCAAATGTATTATTCTGTTATCTGAAAGACAGCCATAGAGTAATGGGCACTGATATCAACTCTTGATTCTCAAAGATGTGGTGAACAACCTCTGAATTGGACCATTTTCTGCTTACAGATGTGGGATCAATTTCTAGAGACAATTTCTGTAGCTGTTCTATGCGTTCCTGTACCATAAACCACAGCAAGTTTACAGCAGTAGTGGGTCCTGGATCCCGTCGCAACCGGTATGCTACGATGGGGCCGGGTGTCCTCAGCAGGCACGCACGCTGCACACGCATTCACACACCACCGCCCATCGACACTCAGCTGCTCGGTGGAGGTCGCGGCCATGCACAATTGGCCCGTTTGCCTCAAAAATCGGTAAGGAATGCGGGCGGGTGGGTGGGCCAAATGGCCACTGTTTCAGTATGGTAACCACTGCTCCCAGCTACCACTGGTACACCCGTACCGGGCCGTACCGCCCGGACCCCACCACTGGTTTGCAGGTTAAAAATAAGCAAGCAAACAAAATTTCCAGCTTATTTCTTGATGTCACACGGAAGGATTTTTTGACCTCATGAGATATCTCTATACATTCCTGCTATTTAAAAACAAGACTTGGATAGTGATATATAGTCATAAATCCAGTACCTAAAGGTATACCAGGAGGAAGAAGGAAACTATATGCAAAGCAACAATAATTTCAATATTGGGAAACGTAATAGCTACTATGGGATTTTTGCTGCTGAAAGACAAGATATAGATAGTTAAAACAAACACGATCAAAGTTATTTAAATTTTACTGTATTAATATTTAATTCAGCTGCACATTAAGTATTACAATTGTGTATCGCAATTCTTCCTATGACTTTGCACTAATTGCCCAAATGCTGGGAGATTATTTATGTACAGAGCAACGGAATATTATTAACTCATCTTATTTTATAGATTCCGGGAAACATTTTTTATTGAAAGTTGAAAACGGGAACAGTGCTAGGAGGATACGTCCTTGCAGGCTCTGTAGCCTTGTGTGAAAAATATTTGACCTAGCATATTATTATTATTATGACTGGTTTCACAGCCAGCCAGATGTTTAGACTGGATTTGGCATTTTTATCAGGCTATTGAGTCCTTCCCAAGGACTTGTAATGGGAAGATGTGGTTTCATGGTGTTCTTGTTAAAGATATTGTCACAAGAATGCAAGGTCACTTCAAGTAAAGCTGCATTTCGCAATTAACTAATGGTAACACAGTAGATGTGAGGAGACCCATTCTTCCTCTCCAAAATATCTGGAAAAATACCTTCCTCCCAAAAGCATCCTCCCAACAACATACAAAATAGTCAGATGCATCTGTTTCTGGCTAGCCCCCGAAAGGCCTCATTTTACACAAACACAGTAATCTTGCATTTTAAAATTCCAGCAACCTGTTTATATGATACAATATTGATCAGAATCTCCCAATATTCAACAGATACAACTTATAAAATGGCTCCCAAATCTGAAGCAGGCCTCAGCAACCTATCACTAACCAGTCATCTACACACACCCCTCTTCTGGACTTCAACTCCCAGAATCCTCTAGTTGGCATCTACTTTTGGTACCTTGAAATCATAAAGGGGGATTCCTATCAGGACATTCTCTATGCGTTTGTTCCCTTCTCTCTTTTCCCCCTTTTGCTTCCTATTTAACAAACTAGCAATCTTCTCCAAATTTACAGACTCCCCTAAGCAGTCAGAAAATACATATTGCTACAAGACCTAATTTCGCTTCTGATAGGCAACGGATCCTTAGCGCCACTATGCCGAATGTGGCTGTGTTAGAATCTACTCTCCATCCCGGCTTCACTAGCACACCAATGTGAATTTTTTAAGGAATTTAGAATAGAATAAGGAATAAGGAATAGGAATAAGTTTATTTATAGGCCGCCCTTTTCCCTGAGGGGACTCAGGGCGGCTAACAACTTATATGGGNATACTATGTCCATATTCATTTTTTGTAATCTAGTCAAGTTTGCCTTCTTTTTTCCAGTGAGTTTAATCCATTTATTTTTAGTGAGAGTAACTTAATTTCTTGTTCCATTGTGTTATTTGTATGCCGACCTTAGTTTCCTTGCGTTTCTTGTCTCTATTCCTATTTTACTACCTTCTTGTTCTATTTGTTCTCTTTCCTGTCTTCTTCTTTGTTCTTGTTCTCTTTCTTTCTCTGTTTTCAACTGACTGTTCTTCTTGACTTCTACTCTCTGGTTCCTCTTTACTTTCTTGTTCTTCCTCAGCGGTGAAATGATGTTCAAAGAACCGATGTGCTTTCTCGACTGTGTCTATTTTATATCTTTTATCCTGCCAGGTAATCGTCACTCCCTCTGGTGTGAGCCATCTGAACATTACATTGTACCTTATTAGTTGTTGTGTAAGGAACTGATATTCCCTTCTTTGGTCTCTCACTATTTTCGGGATTAAATCTGTCCTCCTTATGGTCCAGCTTTCACAGCCATCCATTGCAACTGGGGAAACCATCACCTTGAATAGACACACTTTTGTTGGCAAGATGACGTCTCTGCTTTTTAGGATGCCGTCTAGGTTTGCCATCTATTTGCCATGGAGGGGGGTAGACCATTTCTGTTGGTCTTTCCCAAAAAGCTGGATCAACTTCCCTCAAGGATTATGGTTTCATTGGTGGTCCTTCTCCCTGCAGGGGCTGGGCTGATATTTCTCAACCTTGGGATTTGAAAATGGCTAGACTTGAATTCCAGAGTTCCCCAGAGAGAGCATCCTTTAGTATGTCCTAATCTCAATTCCAGAATTCCCCAGGGAACGTGGGCAAAGAAGTTGCCTAAAAAGACTCTTAATGCTGCTTCTCACAATGCCAAGTGAGGCCCTGCCTAGGCCAGCTGGGGAACATGGGACTTGTATTCTAGCTTGCTCTAGAGCCGTGTTGGGGAACCTCCAGGCCAGGGGTTGGCAGCCTTAAAAAGCTCAAAGACCCACAAAGGTCCTAACCGGAAGTCGTCATTCCCCCACCATAGAGTCTCCTCCTAGCGCAGTGACCTTTTTCCTTTTACCGACCGGTGACAGGGAGCCGCAGCAGAGGGATGAAAGAGCCACATGCAGCTCCAGAGCTGCAGGTTGCCGACCCCTGCTCCAGGCAGAAGAGCCACGCCTTCCCCGGGTGTTAACAGGGATGTTTAGCCTTGATGAGACATTAATTTTTTTACTGGATGGGGAGAGGCCACTCGGAGAAGATCAGACAATGGAGGTTGCTTGTCTCTTTCCCGATTCACCACTTACTACGTGTAGGATGTGAATGGAGATTCTTAGTCACCCAGGTCGTAATTGTCCCAAAGGTGCTTTTTTTTTTTAATCAGAAGGCAACTGGGGTCTTTTGAGGAAGAAGAAGATAGTTTGCTTCTCAACCAAGAAGCGCCAGCAGTTGTGACTGGCTGAATGTTCTCCTTGGATGTTCATTGTCTTCTTCTTCTTCTGGTCCTTTCCAGGCTTTTGCCAATCCCGAGGACGCGCTCAAACATGGTGGCTTGGAGTTCCACAGAGAAGATCCCTATGTGCAGAGATGTCTCAGGTAAGTCCTCTTGAGGATCAGCCATGGTCAGATCAGCAAGGTAGACCAGACGAAGAAACAGGCACCGTGTAGGGCTACAACTACTTTGATTAGAATAGCTCTAGTGACAGAACATTGCAAGCTGAGTAGGCTTCTCTCCCCTCCTGTCTCTCCTCTCCTCTTTTCTTCTTCTTCCTCCTCTCTTCTCTCCTCCCCTCTCTGTCCTCTTCTCCTCACTCTTCTCTTCTCTCCTTCTTCTTGCTCCTCTCTTCTTCTTCTGGCTCCTCTCTTCCTCTCGCTCCTCTCTCCTCTCTTTTTCTTCTTGCTCCTCCTCATTCCTGTCCCTCCTCCTCTCTTCTCTTCTCCTCCCTCTCCTCCTCCTCCTCCTCTCTCCTCTTCTTTTTCTTCCAGCATGTCTCCACTGTGCCATGGATCTGTGTTTCCTTGGGGGAAGGATTCTTCTTACCTCGATCATCAAATTAACCAAGGATAATATGGCCAATCAATTCTATCAAGCCATTTTGACCTTCTAGCAAGACTTTGCTCTAAGCTCATAGGTGGTTTATCTAGGCTGGGGCTCAATTGTAGCTTGTCTGCTGTGGTTTAAGGCAGGACTGAGACCCCCCTAAGGGCTGTGGATGCCCCCCAAATCTTTTGAGAAGGCCTCCAGATCCTCCCCCCCCCAATCGCTGGAACGGTGTCCCGTCTTTTCAAAGCAAAAATTTGCGTGCCAGACAGGCAGTTTATCTTATCACCTAATAAACTTTGATTTATCCTGTTTTTAAAACGAGCAGAAGGGCTTTGCAAAGGGATGTGATTAATTTTGCAATCTCCTTCCTGCCGATTAAACGGGCCCACTTATATTCCCTTAGAGTGAATTTTTTTTTGTTATTATTCAACCCCGGCTAGAAACGCCAGAGGCCCCCGATGTAAAAACATCCTGCCTTGTGCAATTCCAGACTTGTAAACCTCTCCTTCTTTCCTGAGCGAGGCTGGCGATGACAAGCGTGGTCTGAAAAGGAATGTTAAGACTCAAGTGCCAAGGACCGACGGGCGTTGAGTTCCCAAAGCATGCAACCCAGGTTAACAAAGCATTTTTCTGGCCTTCCTCACCTGGTTATTCAGCAGGACATAAGTTTCTTTTATACCCGGGTGGCATTTTATGTTCTTTTGTAAAAATGCTTAGGAAATAGGGCCTAGCTGGGAAAACTGCCTCTCCTTCTTCAGCCCCCATTTACGGTTTGTTGCAAAATAAAGAATGCAGAAGAACAGAGTTGGAAGGGACTTCGAAGGTCTTCTAGTCCAACCCCCTGCAAAGGCAGGAAACCCTACACCACTTCTGACAAATGGTTATCCAACCTCTTCTTAATGACTTCCAGTGTTGGGGCATTCACAACTTCTGGAGGCAAGTTGTTCCACTGGTTAATTGTTCTCACTGTCAAAAAGTTTCTCCTTAGTTCCAGATTGCTTCTCTCTTTGATTAGTTTCCACCCATTGCTTCTTGTTCTGCCTTCTGGTGCTTGACTCCCTCTTCTTTGTCACATCCTGTCCCTCTGTTGATGCAGCCTAGGATGCTGTTGGCTTTTTTGGCTGCTGCCGCACACGGCTGGCTCCCTATTTGGTTTTTTTCTTTGCCTAAGTGGGAACTTTAAACCTTTCACTCCTCCATCAGGGGGATAATCTTGATTTCTCCAGGCCAGAGAAAGGAATTTGATTGTGGGAGGAAGCAACCCTTGTTTATTTAACTTTTGAAAGTGTTATTCCTCCTCCTCCTCCTGTCTTCTCTGATCTTATTTCAGCAGTCATAAAAAAGAAATACTGTTTGTTCCAGCGTAGGAACTCTTGGAGAAAGCAACTGGAGCTTTGGGGAAGATTTACAACATATTGTTTGCTTTGGGCTTAAAAGTTGGCTACAGATTGTAAGAAAAAAGAAAAAAATGGGGATAGGAAGGATTTTTTCAGCTGGGCTTAGTTTGCAAGGAACGCGGCCTCCACGGCCTCCTTGCCCTGCCTGGCATTTATGGCCCATTTGTTTTGCAAAGTTTGAGGGAACCTGATGGAAAGAGAAATACCTTTTAAATTTAAGCTTTGTTGCTGTTCAGTGAATTGGCGATAATTAATGGGATTCCTTCCAGCGGGTTTAATTGTGTTTTCTGCAGCCTGGCAAGTTTGGTTGGGGTGGGGGGGAGGGGGAATGGCAAACCCTGGGAACTCGGATATCTTTCAAAGCATCATAGAACCAAAGGGCTGGAAGGCACCTTGGAGGTCCTCTAGTCCAACCCAGGCACAAGGCAGGAGGCTTCGTACCATCTCAAATGAATGATTGCCCAAACTTTTCTTTAAAACCTCCAGGGATGGAGCACCCACAACTTCTAGTGGCAAGCTGTTCCACTGGTTAATTGTTCTCAGTGTCAGGAAATTCCTCCTTAATTCTAGATTGAATCTCCCTTTAATAATCTTCCCGCCATTGTTTCTTGTAAAGACCTTTTCATTTTTAGTTGGATGAAAAGAAGGACCGGGGGGGGGGGGACACGATAGCAGTGTCCCAATATTTGAGGGGCTGCCACAAAGAAGAGGGAGTCAACCTGTTCTCCAAAGGTTGGACAAGAAGCAACAGATTCGAAACTCAGCAAGGAGATAAGCAACCTAGAATAAAGGACAATTAACCAGCGGGCCGACTTGCCCCCAGAAGTTGTGAATGCTCCATCACTGGAGGTTTTCAAGAGAAGATTGGACAAACTTTTGTCTAAAATGGTACCTAGGGTCTCCTGCTTGAGCAGGGGGTTGGACTAGAAGACCTCCAAGGCCCCTTCCAACTCTGCCATTCTGTTATTCATTGGACTCTAGTACAGTTTGTCCTCAACTTACAACAATTCATTTAGTGACTGTTCAAAGTGACAACAGCATTGAAACATGTGGCTGTTGGCCATTTTCCATGGTTGGAGCCTCCCCGTGGTCATCTGATCAAAATTGGGATGCCTGGCAACTGGCTCATATTTGCGACAGCCGGTGATGATGGAGGAGAATGGGTGAAGGAGGCTCCTTCACCCCCTGGTCCTTCCAAAGATTCTCAGAGGAATCAAGAGAAGGGGCAGGAACTGAATGGCTGCCCATCAGGAAAAAGAGAAAGTTGAGGTAGACAATTTAATGACCCAAATCCAAAGGCTTTGGGGAAGTGATCGGATTGTTCTCCTTCTATATTTTTGATGTGTTACGGGTTTTCCTTTGTTACAGCCTCTGTGTAACCCAAGGAGAACTTGTTGTAACTCATTCCTTCCTCCCCAGTACTTCCTCCCTGCCTTGCGGGCAAAAGAATGATTTACACCCTGAATTTCCTAGCCAAAGAGGGCAGAGTTTCTCTAAGGTATAATACCTAGGCAAGAAATCTCTCAATTGGGTCATCAAAAGGTTAATCTTCAACAACACCAACAAAATAGCTCCGTCTGAGTCGTGTTTATGCCCTGGGCTGGAATATGGGCAGGAAGTAGCTGAAGTCGGGTCGTGCCTTGGGTCATAACCTTGTCTTGTTGATATAATCTCCCATTAACAACTTTGGGAGGTGGCCAAAGTTGGGTGTGTACATGAATGAGACCCACAGGAAATGGCTGAAGAGCACCACTGTGGTAGCCACACACTTTTTGTGCCCCTTGGCGAATGGGGGAGGTAGGGATGGAATCCAGCTGTGCGTGTTATTCCATGCAGACGTGAGGTTGAGCTTCTTTTGAGCCCTTCCCTTGAAGTTGAATCTAGAGAATTGAGGAGATTCTTTTGACCGTAAGTCATTCTTGAAGATGAGGCTCCTGGCCAACTCGACATTTGCGCTGGTAAACAAAGCCCATTTCAGAGGGATTTCTAATTCCCGAGGCGCCATTCAAGGGGATTTATTGGGTGTTTATCTGGCTGGCTGACTGAGTGTCCATCTGTCTTGCAAATAACACAACGAATTACAGATGTGGGTATTTGCCTTAGAAGCCATGAGCTGTAGAGAGGCTGATGTGAAAGGCCCAGCTGTGACTTCTGGGAAGGATTTGCGTGGCTGATATTGTAGAGGGAGGGTCTGCAAAGACCCTTTGAACTTTCCCTGGAAGTTGTGAGGGGGGAAAGTACAGGCAATGTTGACTTACAACCATTTCGTTTAGTGACTGTTTGAAATTACAGCGGACTTGAAGGAAGTGGCTTACGAAACCAGTTTTCACATTTTTTGACTGTTGCAGCATTTTAATATATAAAATGAGAGTAAACTCCACTCCCTTCTTAGCTCATTTGGCAATGAAACATCTGCAAGAAAACAATCCTGCTCAGAGAGAACCAAAGTTCCTTCATTTCAACCCGAGTTGCAAATATTATTTATGCGAATGGTCATTAGGCAAATGGATGCAAGTTGAGGGCTAACTTAACAGAAGAACAGAATTGGAAGGGACCTTGAAGGTCTTCTAGTCCAACCCCCTGCTTAAGCAGGAAACCCTATACCGTTTCAGACAAATGTCTATCCAGCATCTTCTTTAAAACTTCTAGTGTTGGAGCATTCAGAACTTCTGGAGGCAACTTCTGTTCCAATGATTAATTGTTGTAACTGTCAGGAAGTTTCTCCTCAGTTCTAAGTTGCTTCTCTCCTTGATTAGTTTCCACCCATTGCCCTTCCTTCCTTCCTTCCTTCCTTCCTTCCTTCCTTCCTTCCTTCCTTCCTTCCTTCCTTC